TATTTTTTCTAACACAGTGCAGACGCAAGTGCTTGTATAAACGCGCATATACTTATCCTTATGAACCCTGGTGGGCAGGGGATACCTCTCTCCACCTAACTATCCTAATCACAGATTGGTTCACATACGTAATTAATTACAATAAGGTTTTTTAAGCAGAATCAATTACAAGGTGGAACGACATACAATTTTTTATAGCTAGCGAATGCACACGATTGAAGTCGTGACTAGGCACTCATCGCAAAAAGAAAAAAGTCGTGACTAGGCACATGGTGTTACATCGGTGTTGCACTAGGTTACACAAAATAAGTGAAGAAACATTTATCTTATGGTGTGCGTAACATGAATTTTGTCAATTGTGACTTCCTCTCTAATACTTTTTTCTCTGTTTTGTTTTTCTCTCTCTCCTACTATCTGTGGGGTTTTCACTGGTTTTATTTTCAAACTGTTTAAACTGTCCCACCTTTTGTTGACTTATCAAGTAAAATTATGTTTTCTTTGATAAGCCAATAAATTTTTATCAGATAAATGATTACCAAATAACATCCTAAAGTTTATTTAGGTAGATAAATCATATGCAGCATTTGATAAGTATTTATTTACACAATCATATTTTTTGTGAGCGTATTTACACAATCATATTAATAGAGACAAATAAATCACAAGCTAATATACTACTCCCTCTGTTCCTAAATATAAGTCTTTTTAGATATTCTAATTGGGACTACATATATACGGAGCAAAATGAGTGAATGTCCACTCTAAAACATTCTAGTTGTTATTAAAATGTCTAAAAAGACTTATATTAAGGAACGGAGGAAGTAGAATATTTATATCATGTTGCAATGCACGGACAGTTGTCTAGTATTGGTATATAACTAAAGACTTCATATCTCTTCATGTGCATCTAAGCACACAGCCACATTTGTGATTCTTGGTAGAAGAAAATAACTCCATCTTATCAAGGGCAGAGGAAGCATGCAATCGTTGGCGTCAAATGACACCAATGATTTCTTACAAACTTGTTAAGATTTAACAAAGTTCTCTTATAAATATGTAATGACAACACTACACATAGGAGAATGACACCATCGGTGTTTTTCCCCACCTTCTCCCCCGGTCTTATTATGTCAATGCACTAAAATTATAAAAAATATCCTATTTTAAAAAATTAGTTTAAATATAATGAAATTGGTTATTGTAACTTACTGTAGCAATAATGATCTACAACAAAGTACTATTAAGAGTAATTTAGTCTATATAATTTACATATATGCGCTACATTTAATTTTGACATTGTAGTACTGTGCAGATTTTTTTTCCGCGTGTGTAGTGCATAGAAACCTTGTTTTAGCAACAAAAAAAATCCCACAAGATAGATGCTCTACAACCATGTGGATTTTCTATGGTAGTAACTTTTATTTCTTTTGTGGAAGGCAATGATGAATATAGTTAATGGTTTTGTACCTAGATGGACTAAAAATGTGACACATTTAAAATAGATTAACCAGTATAAGGACTTGTTTATTTTTTTTAAAAATCTTATTCTTGGAGAAAACTAAAATCGGTATGAATGAATATATATTTCATTTCACATTGTTCTTAGTTCTTACATACATGTTGCTCGGGACTAACTTCACATAGCCTGCAACTTCAAGGTGAGCACTTCCTGGATGGGACCGTGGATCCCAAGGGTTTCGAATCAAGCAAGCCTGATGCTGCCAGTCTATACTTTGTTGTAGTGACGTGTCGATCATGCTAACAGTGGCAAGAGGGTCGAATTATATCCAACTTAAACTCTCCACAGTTGATGTGCATTTGCACGTCCCTATACCTCTCATGCCGACTCAACTAGCCATAGGTTAAGTTCAACCACATGTCTCTTCTCTAGTGGCACGAAGTCCTTCAAAGAATAACTACTATTTGGCGGTTATATATATGCATGTTCATTAAGAAATGGCATGGTACCATGTGCAAGATATTTGTTGGTGCATGTTGGAAGAACTAAATTAAGTAACACTTCATGTGACTGAAAGATGGAGGAACTGAAAGGATGGGAGACTTATAAAGGACACTCGGGGAAATAGAAGGTAAGAATGCAATCGTGTATGTTTATTTATTAGCACGGAAGGACAAGGTAGACATGGTATGCTTTCCTGCTGGATGTGCTTCACAATTTGATATTGTATCAGCCTAAATACAATGCATACGGAAACGAATAAGAACCCTGTATGTTTCAAACTCTAATATTGCATCGGTGTAAATACAATGCATGCATATAGAAACAAAGTAATAAGAACCATGGGCGGGAATAATTGAGAAAGTATCCAATGCTCCTCGACATGGAGTAATCCCAGAATTACCATAGAATTTTTGCATTTCTAATTTTTTTATTGAACTTCACAAAATAATTGATACACTTCTACTACACAGATCAATTATACTACAAATTTCAAATCCAAAATATTTGTAGCTCGAAAGTTCGAAAAGAAGACAAATCCAAAATTAACATTGTTGATGAGCCAACTTCAGAGTGCAAATTGGGTATACTACTTTCCACAACTAGATTTGTCCTTATTTAATTCTATATCTGTATTTTAAAATTAGATTTGAATATTTGCAACAAGATTAATATATAGATTATGTTTAGACTGAGTTTTTGTTTAACATTTGGGAGGTACCGGGAGCACTCTACGCCTCGGAATACCTGATACTTCTTGACAAATATTCGTCTATCGGGCATTGCTTTTTTTGCTAGTAGGCTGATTTCTTGAAATTTAGTAACAATTTATACTTTTTTCAAGAGATAAAGTAACTTTTTTGGGGCTTTTCGATCGATGGGCCAGTTGGTATTATGGGATCAAAATCAAGTAGCTCATACATGTATCACTTTTTAGAAAACAAAAGGTAGCTTCATTACACACAACCTCTGGAGAAACTAAACATGCATATAATCAAATTGTTACAAATCTGATAAAATTGGAAGAGAGAGAAAGAATATGTCATAGAATGTTCCCAAACACAACACATGTTGATGCTATGTCTCTTGTAACTACTATGTCAGAGGCTACTAAGAGATCATCCACATTCGATAGCAACTATGCAACCATGAGGTGTGGAGGAGCATAGTCTTCAATGCAACGCATCCATCGAGGGATATGACTGACATCATCGATATCGACCAGTGAATCAGTGACGTCAATCCCTGGATTTTCTTCTAAGGTAGCAGCATGTACTGGCGTTCCACAATGGGTAGTAATATAGACTAGTAACGTGCACATGTTACTAGTCTATGTTACTACTAAGCCACAATGGGTAGTAACATATGTGTCGTAACATGGAACACTTTATTTATTACGCTATAGACACATCTTGCCTTGATATGTGTGATGTTACTCATACTAATAGTAACTAGCTATGTTATCACTTTCGTCCCTTTGTTCATTTATTGCATGCCACATCATCTATTTAACCTAGATATGTGTGATGTTACTACTCCCTCTGTTTCTTTTTACTGTGCATATAAGTTTTGGTCAAAATCAAACTACACAAAATTTGACCAAATTTATACTCCCTCGGTCCTTTTTAGTTCGCATATAAGATTTGACTGAAGTCAAGCCTCGTAAAGTTTGACCAACTTTATTGAAAAAAGTACCAACATTCACAATCTGAAATCAATATCAATAGATGTGTCATGACTTAAAGTTTCATATTGTATAACTTTAGCATGGCAGATGTTGATATTTTTTCATGTAAATATGGTCAAACTTTGTGAAGTTTGACTTCAGAGAATTCTAATATGCAGAGTAAAAAGGACCGGAGGGAGTACTAAAAAAATATGAACATATACAATACTAAAACTATATAATATGAAAATACATTTCATGGTGCATCTGAAAATATTGATTTCATATTGTGAATTTTGATATTTTTTAATATAAAGTTGATCAAATTTTATCAAGCTTGACTTTGACCAAACCTTATATGCAAACTAAAAAGAAACGGAGGGAGTACCTAGTTATTGCATGTTGTAATTTTAACTAGTATTATTAATTTGGACATTCAACACGATTAACTCTCTGCACCTAATACGTGGTCCATGCTCTGAAAAATTGCATGCCATCAAATCTCACATTTATCATGGATATTCTATTGCGTAATACGTACTAAGATTGGGATAGATTTGACAGAAGTTCCTGCACTTGTGAAAAGACATACAAAATTGCCTCAACAAAAATGGATGAAATTGGACCGAAAAAAGCCATTCAGCTTCGTTATCGATTACTCCCTCCGTTTTAAAATAGATGACCGAACTTTATTGAAACGGAGGGAGTAGGTATCAATTGGAACATCAAGATGAATGAGTTAACTAAGTATCAGATCGACCAAATTGAACAAATGATAGCTCAAGATGCAAAGAACATTGTCCGAAATAGATTTGGACCGAAAGGAAGTACTATTATCAATTTTCAGGATTGTGTTTTCATTAAATTTTGATTCTAGAGTGCTCGCATGATCCAAGAGAGTTAAAGTGCTGCATCAAGGACTGATTATGGAGGATTTACCGTTTAGCTAGTTTCAACAATACTACAGGACCTACCATTTGAACTGATTTTTGACACGTTTAGGGAAAACACAAGTACTGCAAACGGGCATACGCAGATGCTACAGCATAGAACTAAGTTCTTCCACCACAGCGAGAAGAAAACATGAGAGAAAAGCACATCAAATGCATCAGAAGAAGCCGCACTTCAACACCAGGCAAGAACAACAGAATTATAGACCAAATTCAGGGCTCACTTATTCATAACCTGCCGTACGACAGAAGTTTCAGATCCAACCGATAACAGTGCATCACAGTTCTGTAGAAACAAAGACACCATCAACAGACCCAGATGAGACACCGGACAACTACAACGAAGGAACCAAGGCTTGCGAACCCAGAAACAGAAGCACCATTGCCAGGAGCTTACTGGCCACCACGGAGCCGGAGCACCAAATGAAGGGTGGACTCCTTCTGGATGTTATAATCAGCCAGGGTGCGGCCATCCTCAAGCTGCTTACCAGCAAAGATGAGGCGCTGCTGGTCTGGTGGGATGCCCTCCTTGTCCTGGATCTTCGCCTTCACATTGTCGATCGTGTCCGAAGACTCAACCTCCAGAGTGATGGTCTTGCCCGTGAGGGTCTTCACAAAGATTTGCATGCCACCCTGGAGCCTTAGCACCAGGTGGAGGGTGGACTCCTTCTGG